CTTTAATGTAAAGGGCAAAAAGTTAACTTTAATTTCACAACCAATTAAACCAATAAGAATATTATTAGAGTAGTATATTTTTTTATCTTTTATAAATATAATAAATAAGCACTATTATATAATATTTCAAGTATAAGTTTAAAAAATTGCAGAAAAATTATATATTTTAGTTAATGTAAATAATTTTAGTAATGTAAATAGGTATTAAATAAAATGTTTGAAATATCTGTAATTTTTAAAGGAAACTACTTTCTAAAAATCAATATTGTGTACTGTCAAACCTAGTCCAATGTGTAGGTATACGTATACTAATAATTTTTTTATTAAATGATTAATACCTATGATTTTCAACTCAGATGTGCCTAATACATAAAATGGTATCATGTACAAATTAATAAATTGAAAATTAATCATAATAATGCATAATATTTTGTTCCTTCAATTGATATAAATATATTAACTTGTTTAAAGAATAGTACCCAAGTTTTATTTAATTTATATTCGATACCCTCTGTACGTATTTGGGCACGCCACTGAAGTGTATTGTTTACTGCACCTCTAGCAGCTATTTTTGTTTTTCCAACTCACTCTATTTTCTATCTGTTGCTATTGACTACAAATGAATGTTATTTAGTGCTTAGGGCCTCTCTATGTTTACTTATTCCTCTGAGAGTAATACTAAAAGAAGGTTAGGTTACATTGTCAAAAAATTTGTGCAGTCAACTGATTTTGTATTTGTATTGAATTCATTATTCACTTAATTATTAAATATTAAGCATCGTCCATCGACCCATCAGTGTTACAAAGTGTAAGATTCCAGACAAAAGTTTTAATTTTGTAATTCCACGATAGTGACAGTGTAATTTTTATAAAGAAACAAAAAATAAGAATAGCGTGCCGATTACAATAAAAGCGAGATTCTTATTTCTTACTTTGCTTAATTTTCGAGTTTGTGCACAGACTAGTTTTACAATGAACTGAGAAAAAAATGCATTTACAATTTCCGAACGTGTCGTTCCGAATATGGTGTTAGTGTATGGTGCAGCCGGAGAAAATGCGCTCGCGGCGACTAAGTTGTACCGGGAACGATGGCCACAACGTCACCCCCACGCGCAAATACAATCCTACAGTGCGTTCAGCGGCTGCGAGATACGGGAAGTGTTATCCCTCGAGGAGAAGGACGTGGTCAGCAAGTGAACTTGAAATGCGTTTTTGCAGATGGTTTTTACGGCAATGTGCCGAACAAGTAGACTTTTTTTTATAGATTATACACGCCACACCCTGTATTCGACGTGGGAATACGTACCATCTATCACCTGACTCATGTATTTCATCTCATTCAGCGAATCGTACGTGATTTTTCCGTCGTGTTTCGACAAGACGGTGAGAATTTCTTCACGGAGCCGGTCCTGAATCTCTGGATGCATAGCCATCTCGAAAAGGGCGAAGGTCAAAGTTGTGCCGCTGGTTTCTGAACCGGCCACGAAGAAGATGAAGGTCTGTGCTGCGATTTCGTCCATTGTCAAACTTGGCACCTCATCGGAATGTCCTGGAAATATAAATTATAATACATAAACTAAGGAATTTTACTAGGCTCCTTGTTGTTCATAAAAATTATTCCTAAAGAAGAAATTCCATCCTAGAGAATCTAGGTTTATGAACAAACTGAAAGATCAGATCTGTTGACGTTATATTTTTCATTAATCTCTTCTCTTCTCTTCTCTTCTCTTCTCTTCTCTTGCTAAAACTCATATACCCACCATTGAATTGGTCTATCGACCCATATTTTCCATTCCTGATGTCAATGAGCTGTTGCATGAAGTCCTTCCTCATGTAGTTGTTTGCTTCTCGATAAGCCACTGTGCTATCCACTAGATCTATGAAGAAGTCTCCGATTTCTTTCTTGACCATTCGAATTTTGAGCAATCTGGACAGCACGGGGAAGTTGTCTACGAACAGCCACAGAACGGCGTCCAGTTTGGAGGAAAAGAAGAACTTGTTAGTGACCTCCTTGAACTTGGTGTTGGGGTCCTTGAAACTGTTGCAGTCTATGCCGAAGGCACACGAGCCTATGACGTCGGTGGAGAAGCATTCTGGAACGGAAGGCATGTTTTTACCTATGTTTTGAATTCTACACAATGTCTCAGAAACATTGCTGGCTCACAGAAAAAAGTAATGAGTCTAACGTTAATGACCATTCATTCAAAGACTCGCAAGCATAGTAGTTACCGATTCTGATTATGAAAACAAAGTGGTTTTTCGAAACATTAACCATAAATGTACGTGATATAGTGATGTATATTCTGTCTTTTCCTTTTAATGAGAGGTTTTTTTTTAAGACAAAAGCAGTTGGGTGAAAATAATCCCTAACTTTGGAGTAAGAGATTGTTTACTATAGACTTGTGACTGTCGTATGCTTACGCATGACGTTTTTGGCATCGAGGGGATCCGATCCTAAATAGTTTTCCTGAAGGTGTTCCTCAAGGGCCAGTCCGCAATCTACTACGGTCTGGAACATGCTCTTTAACTTGCCAGAGGAGAAAGCTGGAGTCAGTTTGGTTCTGAGGTTTTTCCATTTCTTGCCAGATAGAGAGAACAAGTTGCAACCTGTGGAAAGAATACGTAATATAAAGACGGACGCATACCGTCAGCAAAAAAGTCAAGCACGTTTCTCCTCATAAATTGTTACTACTTTTGGTCTACTTTTGGTAACTCTTGGTGTAATTGGATGCGATAAGGATGTGCTGTACTGTACTTTTGTAAAAGTCTATCTATCGACGTTGTACTAATACAATTGCAAGGCCTTCTTAACGCTGTTACATAGCTACTTTTTCGGACTTTTAGAAAAAAACCTGATTTTTCTAGAAAACTGTTAGAGATAAGTATAGACAACCTAATATGAGTTGAAAGAGCATTCAATTTTGCATTCACCCATGACAATTAATATGGGTCATTCCATTTGAAAAAAAAGTTTTTCAACTCGTAAGATTATTAAATGTAAGTCTTAGTATTTCCCAGTCTGAATAACGTACACGTTTTGCTCGTGGATGATAAGAATAGTAATTTTTGTCAAAACAAACTGTGAAAACTGCAGGTTTGTAACGTTTACGGTTTAGATACTATCTAGCCTCATTTAAAGAGCTGAAATCGTGTTTTTTTTTTCAAAAACAACTGATTATCTCGAAAACAATAAATTTTAAACACCATGCACATTTAATAAACTCCACATTAGAAAAAAAGTTATATCTAGATTTGACAACTTTTGACTGCTTTTAATACGTCTTTAGAAGGTTGTTCCCTTTAGTAATTAGTCTGGCTACTAAGTAAATAAATAAATAAATGACCAAATAAACAAACAAATAAACAAATTGATAAAGAAATAAATAAACGAACGAAAGTCAGGGGATTTTTTAAAGAAAGCTCTGTGCATTATTACCATAATTTTTATGAGTAGATTCGCCCACTAAAATATTTACTTATAATTTCTGTAATTTATTTTATTTCGACGTTCTTTGTGTTTAAATCACACTGTATCATCTAAAGACGTTCGGAATTTCTGTAGTGTTGTTTTTGGTTGTTAAAGTCACCTCACCTACTGGGTCGTCGACTTCGTTGGTGTAAGTGCCTCTGCTGTTAAAGTATTGGAAATCCGACGCCAGAATACGTTTCACCAGGTCTATATCCACCACCAGGAATACAGGGGAGAGTAACATATACAACCCGCAATACTTCCAGTCTGAAAACAGGAACAACTTAGCAGAGATGACGGATTTAGGCAACGGCTGTGGTTAGAGAAAGCAGAGAGCTTTAAAAAAGTCAGCAGTTGTTTGTACATTTCTTAAAAGACTGCAAATTGGCTTTCACTTTATTCCGAAGCTAGTTTGGTGGGAAAATGGGAAAAATATGATATTAATTCCCAAAATTTGTTGGTGGGTAGGGGTAGGTTACAATTCAGTATTTACTTTACTTCACAAAGTTGAAAAGATATAAAAACTTTTCTGTCTCTTGCATTTTTTCATGCACCGTCTCTATCAAAACTCCCTGTACAATAACTTACCTTTAGACTTCACTTTTTCGTAAATCTTAGCAATGTTCACATCCCTGTTCTCCAGCAATATGTTGCCTATGCTTCCGAACGGTATGGACGGTTCGAGATAAGGAACATTTTTTCTCTTCCAGTATTGATATCTCCATCTGAAACAAGCCAAAGCCACCACCAATATTGCCACAACCAAACAGAATGCGTTCACCAATATTCGCTGTATACAGTCGATCATAATGATGGGGAATAATTGGATAGATGTTTTGGTAAACACCTTTTATATTTAAGATTAGGCTCATTAAAAACTTTGTTAAAATACGCTTTTAACGATCTAGAAAAAGAAAGGTTAAGAGCAGTTATTGTGTGTCTAATTATATGTGCAATAATGACAGACATAAGTTATGCGATTTTCATTTGTTTTGAAGTTATAGCGTAATTATTTTAACTATTTTAAATCAGAGTATGTCATGTTCCAAGTTCAAAAGTAGGACATTTGTTAGTGTCATTTTATGTTGTAATAGTTTAGCATTTCTTACAAGTTTATACTATCAAACTGTTACAAAATGCCAAAACTTATTCAAATTTAGAGTATGCAAATACAGTGTTTGTTTATGATTTTTGTAATGGGAAAGCTAATGTTGTTGTTGAAGAATATCGTCAACCCATTATGTACAAACTCGCAAAACTGTTAAATATTGAACCAATTTGACAAACATTTTATTATTCGGTACTTATAAATCGGGATAATCCATCTGATATCGTCTTCTTGCAACAGCATCGTTTTGTCCTGACAAAGAGTAAGTGCTAACAATACTAACTCTTTCTTGATTGTTTTTTTCATAATATAATACATAGAAAGGTGTGAATGAAAACATAATTACACTCTACCGTCACTAAACAAATAAAATAAATTAAACTATTAAATGTTTTGATGTCTGCATATGACCTGAAGCTTTATGAATGCTTCTTTGATAGTACCTACCTATTTACTCCAACTTGAAATTGATGCAATTTTTTAATGAAGTCGTGTAAACAAACTTGATTACAGTAAGTATCCTTAATGACGCAAAACAGCATCAATTGGAGTTAAACAAGCAAGATCATATTAAAGATTTAGTTGCAGTTTTTGAGTTTAAGCTAACATATAAATTACATCCTAAAAATATAACTGCCTCTGATTATAAAGGTATAGGTTTTGTTAGACATAAACTGGAGCAAGACTTGCTTTTATGGCGTTCGCAACTTGGTACTTATACAGACAAAATAAACTGAAAAAAACTAAAGGAGCGGAAATTTCCAATTTTTTCTAAAAATTGGAAAATTTGATTTGTTCAAAATTTTGAATTTTTTGCGTTATTTTTCTCACAATTTCGCGTCAAATACTCATAAAATATTGAAAAAAACTTTAATTCTGAAAAAGCAGTTTTTCAACTTTTTTAAATTAAAAAAAAATTGTTTTTCGACATTTGAAATATTCAGTGTAAAATTGTCAAAAACGAGACGAAATTTTTTTTTAATTTTGAATAATTTTATCAAAATTTTGAATTTTTTTTTTATTATATTTTCTGACAATTTCGCGTTAAATACTCATAAAATATAGAAAATAAAAAATTCAATTTTGAAAAAGAAACATTTCTTAAAATTAAAAAAAGAAAATTTCCGACATTTGAAATATTCAATCTAAAATTGTAAAAAACGACGAAATTTTCTTTTTAATTTTAAATTTGTTCAAAATTATGAATTTTTTTTCGCGTTATTTTTATCACAATTTCGCGTTACTCTTCAAATATCAAAAAAAATCAAAATTTTGAAAAACATTCAATTTTGAGTTAATGTTAAGTTAAAAAAAATTCCGTCCTGATTTTTATACTGAGTATTTCAAATTTCGCGAAATTTTTATTTTTAAAATTAAAAAAATTGAAAAATTTTATTTTTTTCAATATTTTCAAATCTTTTTGCCTTATTTTTCTCACAATTTCAGGTCAAATACTCATAAAATATAGATAATCGAATATTTCAAATGCCGATAAAAAATTTTTTTTAAATTAAAAAAGAATTGAAAAATTGGATTTTTTTTCAAAATTTTTAATTTTTTATCTTTCTCAAAATACTCATAAAATATTGAAAAGAAAATTTTTAACTGAAAAAAAGCTAATTTTTCAACTTTTTTCAAAATTAAAAGAAATTTTTGGCATTTGAAATATTCAATGTAAAATTGTAAAAAACAGGACGAATTTTTTTTAAATTTTTTTGCGTTATTTTTGTCATAATTTCACGTTAAATACTCATCGAATATAGAAAAAAAAATCAAAATTTTGAAAAACGAATTGAATTTTGAAAAAAAATTAAATTTTTCAGTTAAATAAAACGTTTCCGTCCTGATTTTTACAATTTTATGCTGAATCTTTCAAATGTAGAAAAAATTTTTTGTTTTAAATTTAAAAAAATTAAAAATTTTATTTTTTTTTCGGTTTTGAATTTTTTGCATTATTTTTCTTACAATTTCGCGTCAAATACTTAAAAAATATATCGAAAAAAAATTATAATTTAAAAAAAACAAATTTTTTTATTTTTTAAATTAAAAAAAAATGTTTTCGACATTTCAAATATTCAATGTAAATTTCTAAAAATACAGGACAAAAAATTTTTTTACATTTTGATAAATTTGATCAAAATTTGAAAAAAAAAATTTAAAATATTTTCCTTGCATTATTTCTATTGCACCAAAAAAATTTTTCATCCCAAGATTCCATAACTAGAATGTTCAAGCTTCAAGATGTTTTCTTTTTTTTCTCGATACGACCATTATTCACGAAGTTGCCGCCTTCCAAAGAGTTTCTAAGATGCTCTCAAGTCCTTTAAAAAATTTTACAGGCCGCCAGATTACAATATTAATCTTTACTTATCTTCAGAAACCTCGGCTTAGCTTTCCAGAGGATGAACATAAAAAATAACCTAATATTATATCAAGCTGAATATTCTAATAAATGGAATGAGAATATTTTTTGCTTTTAGAAAACAGGGGGATGAAGATTTCGGGAGTACAATAAACTACTTGGGTTATTAAAGCTGATATTGGCAATATAATTAGTTCAACTTCGTATTATTTTGTTTTTACATGCCAAAGTAGCAGCGAGGTCTTACTTTCTCTTTGCATATTGGGTAACCCTTACAGTTTCCACTATCTTGTAATCTGAAAAAAAGTTTGAAATTATTGACGTTTCATTCGAGATTAGAGATTAAAAAATTAGATCGGAAAGTACAATATTCATGGCTTTCGCCGAAACAAAGAAAATAAATACCTTATTAGATACTGTTTATCGTTATTAGTTAATTCGGATATATTGGTGATGAAATTGCAGTGATAACTAATTCAAAAATAATTATTCGTGCAATAGATTAAATGCGTTTTTATTAAATTAGATATATGACAGTACGTTTAATAAACGAAGAAGCTTTTTGGTTTTCTAATTTTGAGACATAAAAATTTGATCTTATCGCTTTTGAGATAATTCAGGAAAAATAAGGATATCGAAACGAAATTTGGCATAGACAGTACTTGAATAAAATAACAATGGCTCTCAACGTGAAAAAAATATGCTAAAAGTCTCAGCACAAACCATTAGTGTAGATATGATGTGTATTGTGATTCGTCAGACGATTTTAGATCTACAACTTTTTTTTTCAACTACGATACCCTGTACCTCAAAACTGAAGACCTCATGTGCAAAAATTAAAAAAAATATGCCTGTATTACTAACATTTTATGCCATAATATCACTTTAAATGCTTCCAAAATATTATTAAGCATAAAGCAATATATTTTTATTATACTATATAAAAAATTAACAAAACTCAACCACTAACCTCTATCCTTGAATTCTTTTTTGTAGGTGACAGCTACGGTGACAAATTTAATTATTTGCTGATTTTGCCTGCTGCCCATGATACTTCGCTTGCTCGAATCCACCTTCTACTGGTTGGTAACTACATCTGCATGTTACTTATAAAAGTGGGTGTAGATAATAAGATAAAGGCATTATAAAACTCGGAATCACAAAAAGATTACGGATTAAGAAAAACAGGATCTTAAATGCATAATGTCTAAATATAGTCCATTTAAAGGGGTTAATAGAGAGGGAGAATAGACAATTTTCTTTAAGCAACCTGTTGTCTAAAGTGACACGTGTTCCAGAATTATTACGCAAAACTTAGACCGACCCTGCATCGCTCTACTTAATCAACTGAGCAACTGTTTACAATGTATACTGATCAACAATACAATATATGATCAAAATCAGTGTGGTTATTTGCTCGGCGCAAAAGTAAAAAATTGTACTGTAGTTATCCACGAATATTTAGTGCATAATCACAATCTGACACGGTTTTCACCGTGTTTGACGGCGGTGACAATATTTTTGACATCAGTGCAATATTTTTTATTATATTAGCAATATCATGCCCAATTTTTGCTGACGCATCTCTCTTGATAGCGAAGTTAGAAGACGTGCTATTGTTATCCGCGAAAATTGGAAACATAGATCCATTCCGGTATGAATTTCGTATTGTTGAATTGCGGTGAGGGCATTTTTGACAGTAGTGTGATATTTTGTACTGTACTTGCAATATCAGGATCAATTTTTGCTAACGTATCTTTGTTAAAGGCGAAGGTAGAGGATCTGCTATAATTGTACACGCACATTGATTCCACGAAAGTTTAATGTGTAATTTGTAAATTAAACCTCTGAAAATATTTTGTATACAATTTCAACTAGTTTAGGGATATACAACGCGCCAGAAAAAAGTGATGGAAATGAAAATTTTGTCAACGGAACCCAATATTTTTCCATAAAATAATTTCAATTTCAGAATAAAACCATCAAGTTAATATAACATCGTGCTGCATAACTTTTGCGTACATATTTAAATTTTACATGCATTTTTAATGAATGATGAGATAATGCTGCTTAAAATTAAAGTTATATTTAAAAAAATGCAATTAAAAATAAACTAAAACCGTAGAAACTGGGACGCAGCATTGTTGTTTTACATTTTTACCTCGGCTGCAAATATTTATATGGTGACTAATTGTTATCGACATAAGTATACTAGGTGGTCGAAACTTAGGCGTCGGGACAGTGTTTTACAAAAAAAAGGTTACTTTGTTAAACTAGAAATTAATCAGTTCAAGAGTATTTTTTAAACCAATTTGAAACGTTCAAGTCAAAAACATCGCG